TTGAATCACAACTCCTCCCTGCTGCTAATTATGTTTAAACAAAGTGAGTAATACAAGGTCCAAAAGTCTTTGTACCACATTAAGGAAATGAGAAATGATAAATCTTGCACCAGCAATGAGAAAAAAACTGTTGCTTGCTGAGGGAACTAGTAATCAGAGTGCAAAACACCCAGCAAACAAAAGCCACAGACTAATTCACACAGTGAGCCAGATACTGGGAGCTGCTTGTGGTTTTAAAAAGGCCAGGCCGTTACACAGGAGTATAGAAAATAGCTTAAAGACTGACCTTTGGAGAGACAACTTTTATTAACTCGTTTAAAAACCGAAACTTCCCTACTTCATTATGAAATCTTCGCCCGCAGTTCTTCATACAAGCTTCCAGCACCTGTGTTCAAGCAACAGAAACAGGTGGTGAAACCAATACACCCCCAAGTCCAAAGAAATAACACAGCTTGTTTTCCTCTAAGGGAGGTCCCAACTATACCAGGTGACAGTAAGTTCCTGTATCTCATTTCATTGAGATACAGGAACTCTGCCCAAAGACACAAGGTTTGAACGTCATTTCTTTGACTGTGAAATGTTATCAAAACAGGTACGTCTCTAATTTTGACAGAGCACATCTAGGAGCCATCTTCTGGAGAAGGGTGGCAGTGGTGAACAAAAAATTCTCTGAAGGTAACAAACAGAGGACTTAAAGTGAAAACATTTTCTGGCTCCAGTGCAGTCAATAAAGGAACTCCATGCTTAAGTTACATAAGGCAAGTATCTTACTTTCTCAGTCTCCATTCCCTTGTGGAGAAGGATAATTAAGGAGTTGATTGCAACAGTTTCATGGAGCATAACAATGATAGTACTAGATAACCCACTGAATAGTTGGGATCCCACTCCCTTTAAAAGTCCACAGTGACAGACACCAGCTGGATTTGGGGCCTTGAGAGAGAAGGTACGGACTACCTACTGTCAAGGCCTGGACTGCTTCCCATTCTTGGGGTGACTGGATTTTATGAGCCAGTAGTCTCACAGCTATCTGTGGACTGAAACAAACCAAAGTGCCACATTATAAATAAAACAGATACAGAGATTTTTTTAGGACTTTTTAGACTTTTACAAAATCTTGTGTTTAGAAAAGCAGGACATCACAAAATGAAAAGGAAATGCCACTTTGCCCTTCTAGCTTGAAAACTTCAAAGCACTTTAACAAAATATTCTTCATAACATATACATAAACTGGGGTGTTTACATGAGTAAAAAGGGAACATGGTCTAGTGGGCTGTGCACAGGGCTGATAATCAGGAATACCTGAGATCTAATCCTGCTTCATTGATTAATTCCTAGTGTGTCCTTGAATCTTCGCAGTGCCTCACTTTGCTTCATGTGCAGTAAAATAATACTTCTATACTTTGCAGGAGTGCCATGACTCATAAGGGTTCATTTGTTATTGTTTATAAAGATTTTTTAAGGATCTAAAGCCTTACATAAAGTATACGGATTATTATCCCCATTTTACAGATTGAGAAATTGAGGCAGAGGGCTTAGGAAAGATCCCCAAGGCCAGAGAAGCAGTCAGTGTCAGAGGCAGGTGTAGCACTCAAGTCTTCCTGGCACCCAATCCTGCACTCAGATCACAGTGCTTTTCAAAGAAAAGAGACAGAGCTATGCTATATGCTTCCACGTTCTCCTGCTTCCTTTATGTTCGTGTTTTCCTCGTAATATCAGCATATTTTACAAATATGAAACATCAACAACTGGACATAAAATTTTGTTTAAATTAAGAATGTTAAAATACAATACTAAGTCTGACTGACATGGACAACACACCCTTCAAGTTCTTTGTTGATCTGGTCACAGAACCCAATGATGTACTCCCAGTCTTCTTGCCTGTTAGACGGGTTGGTGGCTTTGTCTTTAGTTAAAAAAAGAGAGTGAAAGAGAGAGAAAATATGTATTACTAAAACACAAGAAGACGCAGAATAATTGGCCTTTCCAAAGAAGAAGCATCAATTGCCGCCCACCAAAATTGAGAAATGAATTCACAATTTCTATTCCCATATATGTGTGGGTGCTCAGTAAGGAAGATGTGTCAAAGTCAAGTCAAGCTGCTCTAAAATTAGCCAAACACCTAACACAGTTCACTGCAGAACCATGCAATGACAAGTAAGTGCTTTTAGATTCAGTATTTTCTAGTTACTGTATAAAAGAGAACAACCTCACAGTCTTCCCTCAGCTAGGCAGGTTTGCAATGTTGTCTCTCTCCTCCTTCATTTATAATATTGAGCTACTTACAGACAGTGCCTTTAGTTCTGTTGTAAGCAAAGCTCCTTTTTGCATTCACTGGGAGTTTTGCATGTGTACAAATTGCAGGATCTGAGATTTAACACAGTACATAGATCTTTTACCTTGTTCTTGGAGTGTCACAGAATTTATTAGATGCCTTTACACTACCTACTAGAAATAGATCCAGTTGTCAAGACTTAACTTTGGAACACTCCCTAGCTCAAAAAGAAACAGACTGCAGAAAACTGATGCAGTTTTGCATCACCAATACAGCCTCTCTCCCTCCTCTCCCAGGCAATATCTACACTACAGAGTTTTTTCACAAAAACAACTGGTTTTGCACAAAAATCCGTGGAGTGTCCACACCTCTAGCGCGTTTTTGCGCAAGAAAATTTACAGTAGACGGCAGAACAGAGGGCTTTTTGCGGTGTAGGTATACCTCTTTCTATGAGGAATAACTCCTTTTTGCACAAGAGTTCTTAGTTCTTGCGCAAAAAGGTGTCTGTGGACGCTCAACAGGGGTTTCTTGCGCAAAAAGAGCCTGTCAGAAAAAGCACAGGTACTCTGATGGCCATTTTTTAATGGCCATCAGAGCTTTCTTGCGCAATAGCATCCATGCAGTGTGGATGTGCTTTTGCGCAAGAAGTTTTTGCAGAAGATCTCTTCCGCAAAAAGCTTCTTGCGCAAAAAGCCTGCAGTCTATAGACATAGCCCCAGTGACTGAGTTATCAACATCAAGAATCAATACCAAGGGAAAAAATGTGCTACAAATCCAGCATATAGCAAAGTTACAAATCAAACCATAGTGAAAATATGTAAATGTGCATGTACTGTCATCTTAAATGCATATGTAAAAGAATACGTTTAAGTACACACTACACTAAGAAGAGTCATTAAGTATAAGCATTAATTTAAAACATCCCTCCTCTGGTCCACTGGCATACATATATCAATTGTCAAACTACTGCACTGAAATGTCTGTTTTAAAGTGCATCCAAATCCTCTTGCTGTTGTATTCCTACAGTGTTTGCTTGGCTTTGCTTTTCCACAGAAAAATGCTCCCATAATCTTACAGGCCCCTGTCTTGCGAGATGCTCCACATTCCTGTGCCCGGGCTGAGCCCCAGCAGCTTCTATGGGACTTTGGGTGAGCAAAAGGGCACACATTACAAAGCTGCTTCCCTTAGTCTTTAAATTACGCCTCCAAGCTGTGTTTTAAACTCAAGAAAGTTCTGTTAAAAAGGTAGTTTTTCTGCAGTGCCAAGTATTTGTTAAGAACACTTACTACTAAAACCTTATTACTGTGCCTTTGATTTCTAAACACCATGACAGAAGCATGAAAAGCCAGGCTTACAAGACAGTCTGAAGTTCTCTTCAGGCAAGCAAATCAGCATTTCTGTATGGCTCTGTGTTCCAAAGCACCTTTTCGTTGCTCTTGTGCTGCTCTTTTCACAATTCAGACATAAGAACTATACAATGGGATGTTCTAGTATTGTAAAACAACTAATTCCTTCCAGCCATTTGGTTGGCTGCACATTCTGCCATCAAGAAGGCGATCTGATCTAGACAATGAAACATAAATGTTCATTTCCACTGATTTTAAAGCTGCTCTGCTCTGCTTTTTAAACTTAATGACTTCTCCTAGCATCTCTTGGAATCCCAGAGGATTGAATATTCTTAGTTTGGACTTGGAGTCACCTCATAAACCTTGTTATTTTATACTCTGAACTCTCAGGGTATTCAATTCTAATAAGAAGAGAGATGTCACTGAGGGAGATTTCATTTCACTTAAGGAAATCAACTCGTAAAAATCAATATTATACCTGTACAATATCTGATTTCATAGAAGTTAACACTCTTGCAGCAGCAGAACAAGCTTCCCTACATTGCCTCATTAATGTGCCTCAATCCTGAAAGTATCATCCCTGGAAGAGTTTTACTCCTCACTCCTTGGCCTCTCTATTAATACAGTCAACAAGGATCCTGTTAGCACCCATTGTGGAAGCAGGTTTCTTGCGACACCTGGTCTGCTAGGACACATACTAAAAGTGAGCAATGGATTTCACATAGGCCCCTGAAGCCCTCAGTAGATCTGAAATAGCAGCTACAGGAAAGGGCTCTATAACACATTACCACAATCCCATCACCACCCAATCCTTTGGCTTTTAATCCTTTGGGTCATATCTGATGGTATAATAATGTCGCCTGATACCTGATCTGAGTGTCAAAGTCACTGCATTCCTTCGCTGCTCCAAATCCTGAAAAACTAATGAAGTAACACTCAGCTGTAAATTGCCTGATACCTGATCTGAGTGTCAGAGTCACTGCATTCCTTAGCTGCTCCAAATCCTGAAACACTAATGAAGTAACACTCAGCTGTAAATCAAGGGGGCCCATTTCATTCATGTAGCAATGCTGTGGAACCCCGGGGAACAGAGATCTTTAATTGTCTAATGACTGGTTCATATTTTCACTGTTTTACTTCTCAGTTTTAAAAAAGGAAAAGTTACAAACAAGCCAACATTCTAAATGTTCATTACCAGACTAATGACCTGAATCAGCTCCTAGCAGCTATGTGTCTGGTATTTTAATGTTTCTCTCTCAGGTAGAATATGCAGAATGCCAACTAATGATGAAATGGAAAAAACTGATACGATTTGCACACACGCACACACATCTCCCTCTTCTTAGATTATGAACTCTTTGGAGCAGTACACTTTATATTTACCATATGTATGGACAAGGTCTAGCACATACGGAGATAACGAGTCATCATGGCAGGGTATTGGGGAAAGTTTTCTATTAGCAATAATCATGCCTCAGATTGAGCTCTTTGGTTACGATACTGCCACTGCACAAAGAATAATATAAGTAAGTTTACTTTGCATGTAGGCATCAGACAGAGCAGAGAGTGTTAAGCAAAAGGCATTCCAGCTCGGCTTTCCCCTTGATATTTTTATGCCCACTGCCTCGTCTTGTTACCTCCCCTCCACCCCTGCCCTTTCTCCCCTATTTATTTTAGTTCTGGACATCCAACACTCTGGTCATCTGAAGAAGTGGGCTGTCCTACGAAAGCTCATGATAGCATCTACATGTTTTGTTAGTCTATAAAGTGCTACCAGACTGTTTGTTGTTTTTTAAGTTTATCCTGTACAGACTAACTCGGCTACCCCTTGAAGCTTTTGAAATTAATTTGTTAACCTCCCCTTCCCATTTCAGCTAAAGCACACAGGAAGAGGAAGAGCCCTGTCATCCCAGTAGCCAGAAGTGGGAAGGAAAAGAGGATAACAATGCTTGTAGGGATGTAAAATCCTGCGTAACTGGTAAACTAGTTAAACATGAAGGTTAATTCATTTTTAATCAGTTAATCAATTAAGAGGGGTTGTTCTAGCCCAGTTGGGTGGGAGCAGCCTCCCCCGCTCCCTGCCATGGCTGGGCTGGAGTGGCCCATCACCGCAGTCAGGAGCTGCTCCAACCCAGCTGGAACAGTCCCTGACTGAGCTTCAAGCCTCCCCACCCCACACACACACAGACACGCACCCCCCGGTCTGTCGTGGACAGGGACTACTACAGACGCCTGGAGCAGCCCTTGCCTGTGAAGTGCCTGGGCCAACTGTGGACAGGGGCTGCTACAGATGCCCAGAGCAGTTTCTGCCTGTGACCCGCCCTGTCCATGGTGGGCCCCATGGGTCTGGAGCAGCCCCTACCCACGACAGGTGGGGAGCCGCTCCAGCTCCCATCAGCTAACGGGTTAATCTTTCACATCTCTTACTCATCACATATTGAAGCACATCTCCTGCTGCAGCAGAGATGTTAAATATCGATTAACTGTCTTGTCTCATTAATTCTTATTCTAGAGTCCCCGGGGGCGGAGCCAGCAGCCAGTGTTCTCGGTCCCACTCCCGAGGAGCCCCCTGCAACTCTGTGCTGCTGCCTTTGTATCAAAGGCAGCAGCATGGGGTACCAGTTGGGATATGGTATGTGAGGGGAGCCAGTTGAAAAACCAGCTCCCCTCGCGGACTGGCTGCCTGTTGCCCTGTGCTGCTGCCTCTGAGCTCCCGGACCTAGCACAAGCCGGAACTGAGCCAGGCTGCTTGCCCGCCTAGCTCCTAATACTCTTTAAATGCAGAGCCACAGCAGGGGGAGGTCCTGGAATTGTTGCATGCCAGGACTGAGCTGGGCTGCTGGCCAGCCTGCTAAAAACATTCCTAGTGGGGGAGGGGAGGGAAATGCGTGTAGTCTATAACACTATAACCTATACACTTTACTTATCGATTAATCGACTACACTATTACATCCCTACACTGCAGTGTGAAGACTTGAGGATGAGATTAAACTGTGGTGCTGTGACAGAATGGCACTACTGCTCAGTTGAAGGGCGAGTGCCATTGATTCAGAAAATTCCTGGTCACACAATTCATGTTCTGTCCTTTCCTTCCTGTGGGATATTGGTCCCTACTGTTGCATGGATTTTGCCCTTTTCTTCCATGAGGATACAACAGGTACACACCTTTCCGCTTAGCATCTGACATAAGACTCCTTTTTGGATAGAAAGTCCTCAGAAAAACAGTCTAAGCAGTTCAGCCTTCTGACCAAGTTTCCCACTCCCACAGCCACACAATTACCATGAAGTAACGAAGAGTGATACAACAGCACACATTCCCCTCACCTTTATCCAACTGAATGACATTCAGGCCACAGGGCAACGGGTCCCTGCCCTGTATTTCTTCACTGAGATTTCCTCGGGGAAATGTAATTTTGGGAGGACAAAGTGTGTATCATTTGGCAAAGACACCCAGACTCTCACCACAAGCCCACATGCATTTCTTCAATGGCCAATGGAAACTAATTTGTGAGCACTCTTCTACAAAGGGAGGATTCTATGAGTCACTGTACTAGTGATCAAGCATAAACTGTTTTGTTTAATTAGAAGGCAACATCCAAGTTGGCATATTCTATTTTTATTTTTGTGTATCATTTAGATAGATAATACTGATTATTTCTTTTAATCTTTTTTATTGTTATGGATTTAATGTTCACAGCTAGAGATGGAGAAGTCAGACAATAATTATTTAAATGCATCAGACACTGCCACTCAAAAAGATAATAATTATTTAAATGCATCAGACACTGCCATTCAAAAAGGAAAAGTATTATAGCTGTTAAAAAGCAAATTTTCAATATCATGTCAAACTATACAAAGTAAATATCCTTAAATAAAACTTTACAAAAAATAAAATAAAGTTCTCATACACTGTTTTCTTTTAAACTTTGGCTCTCTATACATTTTAAGGATGTTAAAGATTAGTTGACTAGTCGACTATCTGATAAGCATTTTGACTGTGGACCAGTCCATAGGCACTTTCACATTCCTCCTTTGAAATGTACAAGAGCCCCTTGTACAGGAGGAATGCGGAACTTAGCGTACAGCCTGGGGCCACAGGGAAGTCCCACTGACTCCAGGCTGCACGCGGGTGCCTTCTTTGAAATGCACAAGAGTCCTCAGCGGGAGCTCTTGTACATTTCAAAGCCATTTGCTTATCGGATAGTCTTTTGACTAGTCAACCAGTCGATAGGAACTTTCGCATTCCTCCTTTAAAATGTACAAGAGCCCTACTGAGAACTCTTATGCATTTCAAAGAAGGCACCTGCTTGCAGTCCGGAGTCAGCAGGACTTCCCGCTGGCCCCGGCTGTACGTTGAGTTCCACATTCCTCCTGTACAAGGGGCTCTTGTGCATTTCAAAGGAGGAATGTGGACGTGCCTGTCGACTAGTCAATGGAATTCCATCAACTAGTCAATTAACCGCATTTTAACATCCTAAATACATTTCAATTATTATCCATGGAAATATTTTTGTCAATTTGTGCATGTGAGGTGAAATCAACATTTACTGATACAAATCTGATCATTTCAAGCCCACTTACATCCCATGAAAAATGTGCTATTCCTTCAGCTCCCAGTCAGACTCAGAGAAGTTAATGATATGCTCTCTCTAATTTTCAGACACCGAGCCATAGGACAACCAGTCCCTCAACTTTCAAAGTTAAAATTCAAATAGTTGGGAAGGTTTTCCTGATACCTGGCCCAAAATTTCCTTCGTATTAGACATTTTCATAGAATCATAGAATCATAGAATAATAGGACTGGAAGGGACCTCGAGAGGTCATCGAGTCCAGCCCCCCGCCCTCAAGGCAGGATCATGTATGAGGGCTGCGTCTAGACTGGGAAAGTTTTTCGCCAA